AGCCCTAATACACATCCTCTTTTCAGACTAGAATCCCTATCCAAAATTGACTTTAATGCAAACCCACTTTTCAGATACATACTAACAAGAGGAACTGGAGTGTTTGTCATTGGCGACGGTTGTATCGATTCGGGTATATTATTATATACTAATCTATCCAAGGTATATGTAAATTCTCACTCTCATTTTCACCAATAAAAAATAACTACCATCTCAGGAAGCAAGGACAGCTGTCTAGTCCTTCGGATGAGACGAAAACCGAGGTCCCGTGTATATATTGGAATGCACGTAAAAGATCCCTGGCAGTTGGAATTCGATATAAGAGTAGGCGTATGGCGTATGTCCGTCTTCATTAGTCCAGAATAGGAGCAGAACAGTAGGACGTTAAACCCCATTTCATTTCGTATCCTTTAGATTGTACTGTTGTGTGATTGTAATCATATTGAATAAAACATTGTTTAAAACAGATTCTTACACGGAAAGGTTATAAACTGTTCCTTAAAAATATAAATATTACATTTGCTCTGCTCAAACGGCTGTAGAAATCGGTATTAGAATTCTAAAGACTGGCACGATGCTTAACGTGTTAGAGTCGCGTTTCAAATTTAATTTACAGAAACTATCCAATTTCATATGATGGAGAATTTATGAGTTTAAAATATTTTTGAACTGTTTGACATTCAACGTAGAACGTACTCAGTGGTAAGTGTATTATAGCTATGATGGATGCAGACCGATTTTCATGCCACAATAACTAGGTCACTTTCAAATTATCGAAGATGGCTAAAAATGTTTCTATTTAAGATAAATACAAAGTGCGTTTATAAAGTTTTTTTACTACATCAATAAAGTCATTGTGTTTGTCATAGTTTTGTATTTATTTTTTTTTTGAGAAATATGTATATTATTTCTTTATTTCTGCTTATTTGCAGTTTTTAAAAGCAAAAATAAACTTTGTAAAAGAGGGCAAATGTGTACAATATTAAATAGTTGACTCAAGTTGGTCAGTGCTTAGATATATATTAGGAGAGTCGAAAGTTACTTACAATATGATATTAATTACATTACATTTATTTTTTGGATGATGTGGAGGAGTCATGAAACCACTTTAATTTTCATTTCAAATTAAAGAGTCCTAACATAGATAAATATACTTTAGACTGGTCTACGGGCATACTAGAATATCTCACGATAATGTACAAATCTCATCGGTTGCTTTGTGGTAAGCTAAAGTGAGAACTTAAAATAAAAAGAAACGAAACAAAACTACTTAATTACTACATACAGTCAAGCATTGACTCTTCGCGAAACTGGTTTAGGCTGAATGTTTTACAATATCAAATTCCGCATTCGGTTGCTTTGTGGTATGCTAAAGCGAGAACTTAAAATAAAAAGAAACGAAACAAAACTACTTAAGTACTACATACAGTCTAGCATTGACTCTTCGCAAAACTGGTTTAATGTGAACGTTTTACAATATCAAATTCCGTATTCTTTCTAAAATGTTAAAAGAACACGAACTAACAACTTTGTACCATCTGCCGCAGCAGAACGTCTCTGACTCACACCAAACTTTCTTCTTACTCAATGGATATTTTTTTGTAAATATGGGTGACCTATCGACAAACACTCAATTTAGATGGAATTCACCCGCATGCCAGCTACCTCTAGTAATGTCGCTTCTATACAATGAAAGTACATTCCACCATATAACCATTCTTTAATAAAAACTGCGTAAAACTGGTCCAGATGGAGACAGGATAAATTTGGGACTGGCCAAACGGAAAGACGAATAATAGGTCACAACTCACGCATGACACGTGGAAAAAATATGGCGCTATGTTTTCGTGCCAGAAACGCCTTAAGGTAACAATGATCTATCCCCTGTATATAATACTACTAGTACTATACTACTACTGTTATGAGCCTTGCAAGCACTAGTAAGATCAAGATGTCCACCTCTAACCTAGTGCCAAATCTATAGCCAAATATTTAGAACGATCAAGATATAATCTGTTGTCCTGAAGCAATGATGATTAAGTAAATAATACTTTTCGGTTTTGATACTGAACTGGCTGCAGTGTTGGTTTCTTTTGATAGGAAAATCTGTTAGGTTCATAAATCAAGCCTTAGTAAAATCAAGATGCCTACCTAGTAAGATTTCTAACCTAGTAATAGTTAGTGTATGTCAAATCTATAGCCAATTATTCAGAACGATCAAGATATATTCTGTTGTCTTAAAAGAATGGTGTTTAAGTGAATATTTATTGGCATTTTGGTATATCCCTGCGTTAATGTCATTAATAGAGACGGGCATGATTCAAACGATAGAAAATATCACTGATCAAATGTCAATCATTATATAAACATGTATGCCAAAATATATTCAAACAGTTAAACATACATTATGCAAGAGATAAATCTGTCTATTGCAGGTCTTTCTTTAGGCCTGAAATGTTATCTAAATTATTGATTAGACATTAATTAACTTATCCAGACCATAATCAACTCTAGATGGCATCGCTAGCCTGCGATCTTAAGTGGATTGTGAGCCGATTTACTGCATAACTTTCCTTCTCGATTAAACGATTAATTGGATAATCGAGACTATGCTGTTTATCGTACTGACTTTAGTAATGATGACCGAGTCTAGGCAGAAATTTCATTCGCTTTGTTCTCGGTTCATAGTGGATCAATTTGAATGAAATTTTCAGCAAATTATCTTTACGTTATCTAGTTTTTAATTATTATAGTGAGAACTGCCAACTCGTTATCGAATCTCCCATAAAGTAGTTCAGCTGTCCGGGCAAAATTTCCCTAATAGCACACGGTATGACGTATGCCCGTCTTCATTAGCCCAGTTCGGAGCAGAACAGTATAAGGGCGTTAACCCCCATTTCATTTCATTTCGGAGCACAACAGTAGAACGTTAAACCCCATTTCATTTCTATTAGTTTTACATTTCAAATTAACATCCAACTAATATTGCAGTCAAGGGACATGTTAAGGGGACGCATGCGTTGAATGTGTTTTTAAACACCTGTATGGATACTTAATATATTTTAATTTATATATGAATCATAGATTGGTTTGAATTGAATTCAATAATGGTGTGCGCTCCAAATGGGTGGGTGTCGTACACAAGAAAGGGTATGCCTAATCTTTGTAGAAGACTCAATACATGCTTCAATGTACCACATATATCCCGTATGGAAACACGTATTTGATAATGGTGAATTCTCAAATTTCTTCAAGATCGGCGTCGTACACGATAAAGGGTATGCTTTAACCTTTGCCGAAAACCAAATACCATTTCTCATTTACTGTGAAGCTATTACAATTCCCCTTGAACTTCGTATATATAACAAATGTCTATTTTTAGTAACACTTCATCTATACACGAGATTAATCTATTATCTTAAAGTGAAAGAAAATACATCATTTGGTAAGATAAATGTATGTAGAAAACACAATTCTCGTTTATTATTGGTAAACTTTACCATTTGTCTATACAATAATACGTATTCTGCTACCGGTTTCAGTCTACGAGAAGGCATATCAGGTAGGGGCGTTACCGGTATCGCTGTTTCGCACAATTGTTGCTATAGTGTGAGAATCTGCTGCAGCGTAAGAAAATGTCAGCCGCACTAAAAGCCAGAATTTTAACACGGGATTAATAAATAGGTTTATGGTATGAGAAATGATTCAAGAGGAAATACAATTGCACGAATCTCTATTTTCGGCTAAGTCCGTTTTATTCTAAGAAAGCGAAAGGTTCGGGTTTTTTTTAGAAAAAGATCTAATTTTAGTACGTACAGTTCACGTGACAGATGTATAGACCTTATTGAGGAGTTCTCATGTCTGTTAGAGAGAGAAATGGGGTTTAACGTCCACTCGACACAAACTAGGTCATTTGGGGACTAACATTTTAATTTCATTTAAATAATTCGCTTGCGCGTAGGGGTCTTTAGCAGTGTATGGGAGGAAACCGGAGGACCCGGAGAAAACCCATGAGGTTGGATAGGCGACCCTACTCCTTGTCACGTACAACAGGGGATCCGAATCCACGTCAGTTGACTCAATCACAGGCCTTATGATACAGCGCGCACGTGCTAACCATTCGGCCATTCAACCCCCTCTCGTGTCTGTTTCTGGGTTTGATAAAATATAGGGTTACGTACTTCACTATTTGATATTTAAAACCAGAATACTGGAATAAAACAAATACATTTCTCAGACAATTTCTCGTAATTCTATGTAGGGAATTCTAGCTTTTGTTTTCTTTTTACATAACCATTTAAATTGGCTGTGCATGTGCCTTGTTATCGTATCCAATATGGTTACCCATACCGTATATTCATCTAAGGATTCTGAATTTCTTCAATTGAGAAATTGGTTAATTGCCAATACCAAGTCAAAAATTGAACAAATTTTTAGCAATTTATTATTAGAAGTTTTGTTTTGTCAATCGTCTACAACGTGTTTTATATAATACGTATGCATAAGGATGGAAGCTGAACTTCGACAATTGGGAAATATTGGTTCATATTTCCAAGTAATAGAAATGGATTAAATGTCAATACCAAATCAAAAATTGAAATGGTTTTCTGTAATTTATTAGAATATTTGTTTTACCAATCAACTACAACGTATTTTTCATAAAATTTTTGACAGATATTTTGAAAATTTTGCATATTTCTTAGTGATGGAAATGAATTAATTGCCAATACCCAATCCAAACTTGAACAAATTTTAAGTAATTTATTAGAGCCTTTGTTCTAACAGTGATCTGTAGCATTCACTATTTTTTTTGTAGCCATCCCATTTTATATATGTATTTTGTATAAAGTTTTTTATAATTTTGTATAAAATTTTTCGTAATTTTTTTAAAAGTTTTTCATAATTTTTTTTAAAGTTTTGCAATAATTCCATAAACTATTTTTAGTTTAAATATATAAATCCATTAATTAAATAATACGTTAAACTAAAGTTGTACATACCGTTTACACTGTAATAATCCCTGATTGTTGATACTATGAGTTATACTCCAAATGTAGAGGACGCTAGAAGCCGAAAAACTGGAAATGCTTTCAAATACATTAACATGTATATATAATATCCGAAAAAAGAAAGAAGGGGTGTAGCGACATTTCCTCTAGGTTTTATACACAGCGCCCACTATAATGTATGATTCAGAACCAAGAACACAGCTATTCTCACACCCCTTATATCCAACACTCACTGCGAGCAAGCCACCGGTTCCAGCACACACACTGAACTAAACGAACGCTGCCCAGTCTCGCTTCCTGTGTAATTTTATAGGCCTGTGTGTTTAATGTGCCTCGGGGTTCTGTACAACGATGCCATAGCCGCCTTAGCTTAATATCTTACATATAAATACATAAATAAGGGGTTAATTGATAGATAATGATGAAAGAGCTTTGATATAGGCTTGTTATATATAAGAGATAAATATTCAGGAATTAATGAACATGCGTTCTGTTTATTGTCGATGTATTCGCGTAATGATGTCATTCTTGACACGATTTTAAACGTTTATTTAGATTCACGATACGCGTGTTACGTTACATCCATGGGGTAATCGCTATAATCAGTTACGTAGTCGTCTTTCACCCTTAACCTTCTATTAATTAATCAATTTTGGTTCAGCTTCTCTTTGACTAGATTTTCATTTTTTGTTGGGGTTGGGGTGGGTGTTTTTTGTTATATTTTGGTTATTATTTTTTTTATTAAAATAAAGAATAAAGATGCATGGTTGTTTGGTGGTCCAGTCGTCTAACACGTGCGCTATACATCATAAGGACTGTCATTGAATCAAGTTTCGTGGTTTCGAATCCAGACTTGTATGTGACAAGGAGTAGGATTAATTTTGCCTGCCTAACCTCGTGGGTTTTCTGCTAAAGACCCCTAAACGCGAGCAAATTATTGATATAAAAATGTGCCATGTGTTTTCCAAAATAACCAAATTGGTGTTGACTGGAAGTAAAACACTATTCCCCCCCCCCTCCTCTTTTATTACACCACCCAACTGACAATGATCCGTCTCTTTGGATTGGATTATGTGTTAAGAGTCTGCGAGTTTTAAAGGCTATATAGCTTCATTGACCCTGTTCGTCTGATCATTTGAAATTTACAACAGTGCCGAGAGTTTATCTATTAAAATAATCACGTTCTTATTTTTTTACTAGTGTGTGGTTTGTAAGGGAGTGGGGCGCGTCATGTAAACCGTAAGTTTTACAGATTTTTAGTCAATCGGCAAACCTCGTCAATATTCAACGGAGTAAGACTGAAGCGATACTATCTTCATATCGCAGTTTGCTACGAGTATATACATCTGCGAGCAAGATACAGTGTGTGCTAATATAAAGACCATGTGTGTAATTTAATACTGTAGCAGAAGCCTATACTAACAACATATCCTACAAACGGTTCCCATCATATTATATACACTGTCTTGTTTTCCCGAATTCCTCCCTGATTACGTCACCTCAGCTATAGCCTCTCTATTATAACGTCGATCATCTTGTGAAAGAAAATTGTAATGACTTTTGTTCGGAAGATTTAAGGTGCCGTTCCGTCGTTAGGCGAAGGCAGAGTAGGAATTTGTGCTGCAGGAGGAAATGACAAAGCAAATTCTAGTTATTTCACATTTTTTGTTTACAAATGTTTCCCTTTATTTAGGAAATATTTCGACATGTTAAGCTACATCAAATACAAACTAGTCCAAGTTCAGCCTTTAAATAAACCTAACACAAATACCTATTATGATTCGTCAGCCATCTTCGCATTCCATCTTTGTGATCTAAATGTATTAAATTATTTAAACATATTAAATTAAACATAGAGTTATTGTAAATTTAGAATGGCGGTTGAAATGAAATGAAATTAAATGGGGTTTAACGTCCGACTGTTCTGCTCCGAATGGGCTAATGAAGACGAGCATACGAAATACAGTGTGTCATGAGGGCAATTTTGCCCGGACATCGACGCTACTCTTATATCGAATTCCAACTGCCCAGTGATCTTTTACGTGCAATGTATACTCGGATTTTCATCCCCACCCAAACAATTAGACACCTGTCGTTGTCAGACCCTCCGTCCTGCACCACGTAGAAGGGGAAACCACGCTGGAAAATTACGATGAACCTTCTCGGCCAACACCGGGAGCGAACCCGCGAACATCAAACTAAGGAAACCAGCATCTTACTCACTAAGCCATCGTGGCTGTCACGTTAATTCGTACACACATGGACCTCGTCTTTTCCTATCATCCCAACGAATAGGCACAGTTTTTTGTCAGCCCCATAGATCCCATCCCTAACAACTAAAACCGAAGGGTCTTCTCGGCCTAAGACTATCAATACCCCAGTAAGCGAGAGTACTAAATTTTACAATAATGAAATAAGGGAGTCGCGGTGGCTCAGTGAGTAATTCTATGGCTCACCACCGTGGGTTCTCCTTGTCAGAGGTTCACAGGGCGGAGGGCCTGGTAATAAACAGCGTCTAGTCTTTCGGATGGGACGAAAAACCGAGATCACGTGTACTTCTTGGTATGTACGTAAAAGAACCCATGACATTTGGAATTCAGTTGTTGTCCGGGCCAAATTTCCCCAATAGCTCACTGCATGGCGTATACCTTTCTTCACCTCGGTTGGAGCAGAAACTTAGAACGTTAAACCCCATTCCATTAGTTCATTCCAAAATGGTAGAACAATTAATGAACAGAATTGTTCCGGGGCCAGTCCTAAGTGTCCACTCGAGTCATATTATTTCAGTTTTAAGTTTGATTATTTTGTGATGCTTGATATAAAGTTGAAATTAAGATGACACACCTTATCACCCTTGATGACAAGGAAATACTTATTGGTTCATAACCTTTCCACTTTTATTGTTCTGTATTTTCCTTGTTTTCAAAAAAATGAAATGAAATGAAATGGGGTTTAACGTCCCGTGTTTCTAGGTTAACGTCCGGGGTCTAAAGAAAAGATCGAGTCTAATGAATGAAGTAGTAACCACAAATTAAATTTGCGCACAGTAATCGGAAATATAACGGAAACGTACAAATATGGCAGTAGTTCATAGGATATAATATATTCAATTGTTTACTTAATATTTTCACCTTGTATATGGGTGCGGATAATCTAACGAGAGGATGGTCATCGATTCAACAGTCGTGATTTCGATGCCATGCTTGTTTGTGTCAAGGAATAAGGCCAGCTGTCTAATCTTGTTAGTTTTGTATGGGTCCCCGGTCTTGTTTCACCGCTAAACTCGCATGCATGCGCAAGCACCAAGTGTTAAAATGAAAATATAACCGAAATACTCCTCTCTCTCTCTCTCTCTCACGGACGACTGGGATTATTTACAATCAAACTAAAACAAAAGCAAAATACTGTGCAGCCAGTATTCAAATGAGTCACGTGTTAATTCCATTTATATAATTAAGAATAGTAGAATCAGTGGAAATACGGTAACCCTGTCATTACACGAGTGGGTATGGGTACCATTCGATGAAATTACCTAATAATGGACCGTGTGTCTGGTTCGTAACAAAGCCGATAAAGTCATTACAAAATAATGAATTCATTTTAGTATTAATCAAAAATTAAATTATTTTCGTTCCGGTTGAGTACTTGATTATATTTTTAACTCAAATTTGACAATTAATACTTTTTGTCACGTGATCTTGTCATTTTCTCTTCCGGATTCAACGACGTTTGGTTTATGATCAAATATCGCGCACGTGGTGAATAGAAGATGGAGAATTGGAATTAGGTCAGTTGACGCGCTTCACTTGCTTTAAATTGACTTTTATTATAAGGCTTGTGTAATGAGAGAGGGCGAGAAACGGGGTTTAACGTCCACGCGACACAAACTAGGTCATTTCGGGATTAAAATGGTTCAATTTTATTTCAATAAGTAGCTTGCTGTGGCAGGAAACCGGAGGACACGGAGAAAACCCACGAGGTTGGACAGGTGACGTACAAGCAACCCAATGAAGATGGTGTACGCTATGTGCCTTACTCACTGAGCCACCACCTCGGTTCCTACAGGGAAACAAAAATTCAAATTTCACACCTTGAAACCTATAGACTGAGTCATAAAGTACAGTTTTAAAATATAACGGGCATAGTCTATGAATGACAAAAGTTCAGGGACGGAGACGCCTTTCCGAAATCCATGTTTTTATTAAAGTTCTTAATGTGCGTAAAGTTCACACATGTGTCCTATACTTAGACCTTAATAGTTTTCATAAATGGCAGAGTTTTTAGTGCACCTCCTACCCAACTCATAAACATTAGACAACTTTTGTGAAAAAATGGCGTTGTATACAACAAAAGGCAACACATATATCAGACTTTTTTTTCGCAGTAAAACCGTTGGTTGTTTAAGCGGCATTTAGTAACTAAATGAGAATAACACACGGTACAATTATATGGAATACAAGTTACTTAAAAGTTTATTTTTGGCGATGTTTAAACGAGGGTTCTTTTTTGCATGTATAAGAGACTATTGGCAAACGTAAATTCCTGGTCCATATCATGTATCCGTATGGATTTTGCGTGTGACGTCATCGATGTGTGTGTTTTTCTCACGTGTACATGATACGGCATACGGATACGGCAGCATGTATCGAACAGTTTTCATACGGAAAAGGTCCGTATAACACCGTCGTCTGTGACATATTGAGCTTTTAGTGGCTACACAGATTAAAATAATCGGAATGTTTAAAAACATATTAAAGGCCAAGAAATGACATCGATTTAACATTGAAGTCAATGGGGGGAGAGAATTACTAGTCTGAATCCATTCGTGTTAATGGGATAGCCCACTTCCGGTCAGTGTTAAAATCACTGCGTGTGATAATGAACCTATTTAAGCTTTAAACTAATAAACACCAATAATAACCGTGACATATATAAAATAACCATTCATAATGATAATCACTCATTGGTTAAAGTTCATATATATATGCACAGAGGTCATTTGGTTAAATACTGTTTGACCACTTGGTTTGGTTTTATTGAGAACAATGAAACCGTTTCAGCGTCCCTATCATCTTTTCTATACCAATGCTGATATTGCATCAAATTGATAACTATTATACAAGTTGGAATGTTCTACGTTTTTAAATTTTTGAATGAAATAAAATCAAATCGAGTTTAACATCGTATTATATTTCTGCACCAACCGGATATTGAAGACGGACAGTATGTTATGAGAGACAATTTGACCGGACA